GCTGGCTGAGGAATTCTGGGAGTTGAAGTCCACAAGTCTTAAAGTTGCCAAGGTTGGACACCCCTGGTCTAAGGCCAGGTTACATTTGCACCCGATGCATTTCCCTCTCCTTCCTTCCTTTATATATATGTTTCTTATTTCTAAAGCACCCTCGGAGCAGCTGGCTCTTGAGGGGAGCCGCTTTTCCTGAGAAAAGCCATGGGATCCTTTTACTGGGGCTCCAGAAGTGTCAGAGGGAGAGAGGTGGCACGGGGCTGCTGGCTCTGAGCAATGGTGGGAAGTGTCCTGGCCGCCTTCCACAGAACGTGGCCCTTTGGGACTGATTCCGTGGCTCACGATGCCTCCGTCACATCGCCTCCCAAGAGAAAGTTGCTCTCTCTTTTTTTGGGTTGCATTTCTTTCTGGAGAGATTTGGGTTCACAGCCACATCTCCCAAAATGCATCATTTAGGACAGCGGTGGGCAACTATGGCCCTTTTATGACCCGTGGACTTCAACACCCAGAATTCCTGAGGCTGGTTCAGGAATTCCTGAGGCTGGCTCAGGAACTCTGGGAATTGAAGTCCATAACTTGTAAAGGAGCCATTGTTGCCCACCCCTGATTTAGGAGAAGGCAAGCTCGGTGCCTGGATTTTAGAAGGTTCTTCAGCCTGACCCATAGAGGCCTTTAGGGGGTCAAGGGTGCAGCTGGGGTGGGGTGGGGAGTTAAGAAACGCACTCAGTAGAATTTGCCAGCAAAGTGGAGTTCGTGCAGTTACAAAACCCACACACACACACACCCGTCGCCCTGCCTTTCCTTTTTCTCCTAGTTGGCTGGAGATGCTCCAGCCACCCCGAAGCACCCCAGAGATAGCCGGGACCACTTCTTTGCTGCCGCCCCCAAGTCTTTGACGCCCCCCATGGGGACCGCTGCGGACGCTCCTTCCTCGGTTGCAGAAGCTCTTCCCAGACTGGCAGACCAGCAGAGCAAGCCCAAGGCAGCCTCGCCCTCCTCCTCCTCCTCCTCCTCCTCTTCTTCCACCACCGGCGGTCTTCTCCTGCCACCACAGGAGCCGGCAGGGGTGGAGAACATCAAGGAGATGCCTCCTACCTCCAGCCTCAAGCCTGGTGAGTTTTTCTCCTGTGAGGACGTGCTTTTTGACGGCTTGGCCTGCCTGCCTCCTCAGAGTCTCTTCCTGTGGTTGGTGGCAGTTGCTTTAAGCAGCCGTGGGACTTCCTTTTCAGAATCGACTTGTTTGAAGTAGTCAAAGCTTCCCATTGCACTGGATATTAAAACCCAGCTAAATTTCCAAGCACAGCAATAAATCTATGTGGGAGGAAGGCTTGAGAGCACCAGTTGTTCTCCAGGCTGTCTTAAAAGCTGGCCTGGAAGGGCTGATGGGCCCCAGGGGTGGAGGGTCTCCCTTGCGGATCTTCACTGGGGAAAGTAGCCTTTAGACAAGATGCTGCAAGCCAGCTGAGGCTCTCAAGAAAACGGAGAAATTGATTCAGAAATGCAGTAGTAGCTGAAGGAGACGGCAGCTCTCGCTCTCCCTCTGTGTGTTGGAAAGGGGTTTAATTCTGCACCACCTGCTGCTTCCAGACTGTTCCAAGGCAGCCTCACAGAGTCCAGCCTGAAAGCAGTTGGGGCAGGTAGTGGATTAGCAGCCCCGGCCATTCTGACCACCCAACGGTCTCCAGAAAGGCTCTGTTTTTCAAGGAGGTGATATGCTGAGCAACTGCCAGTTTCCTACCCTCACAACACTTTCATCCTGGGCAGGACCTCTTGCCATTGATCAGGAATAGTTACAGTCTATTGGCGTTGGGCCGCTAATCAATTTTTTAAAATGAACCTAATATAATCACCACTATCATGGTACCGCTTATGCTCAGCCCTTGGATGACTTTCTCTAGTGGCATCTAATAGAATAGAATGGGATGGGATGGAATAGAAACAGAAACTATGGAATGGAATTAGAATAGGAATAGAATAGAATTGAATTGAATTCTTTATTGGCCAAGTGTGACTGGACACACAAGGAATTTGTCTTGGTGCAAAAGCTCTCAGTGTACATAAAAGGAAAGATACATTCATCAAGAGTCAAGAATCATCAGGTACAATAGAAAATAGAATAGAATAGAATAGAGAATAGCAATAGAGAATAGGATAAGATAGGGAATGAGAATAGAATAGAAAATAGAATTGGGAATGGGAATAGAATAGAAAATAAAATAAAATAGAATAGAATAGAATAGAATAGAATAGAATAGAATAGAATTCTTTATCAACCAAGTGTGATTGGACAACACAAGGAATTTGTCTTGGTGCAAAAGCTCTCAGTGTACATAAAAGAAAATATACATTCATCAAGAGTCAAGAATCATCAGGTGCGATACTTAATGATAGTCATAGGGTGCAATAAGCAATCGAATCATACTAGGAAACAGTCCATAAAAATCATAAGGATACAAGCAAAGTTACAGTCATGCAGTCACAAGTGGGAGGGGATGGGTGATAAGGAGTGATGAGAAGATTAACAGTAATAGTAGTGTACACTTTGTAAATAGTTGAACAGTGTTGAGGGAATTATTTGTTTAGCAGAGTGATGGCGTTCGGGAAAAAACTTTCCTTGTGTCTAGTTGTTCTGATGTGCAGAGCCCTATAGTGATGTTTTGAGGATAGGAGTTGAAACAGTTTCTGTCCGGGATGTGAGGGGTCTGTAGATATTTTCACAGCCCTCTTTTTGACTCGTGAAGCATACAGGTCCTCGACTGAATTATCTCTTCAACATCTCCTGAAATAAGCAGGGAATGAGAGTGGGCAGCTATGACCCACGCAAACTTTTTTTTGTGTGTGTATTTAAAAAAATCAGGATTAACAGAGAGCAGTTTAGGGGCTGCACAAGCAAAATCCTCTTTTGAAATGTTTGGCCCAAGAAGGAGCAGAAGTACCATGACACGATGCTCATCCAATGCCATGTCAGGATCCCAGGTAATAGACCCATGTCAAGCAAAACTCCGAGGCAGGTGAATTCTCAAAAGAATAGCTTTATTGGATATATCTTATTGGCACAGGTCTGGTGAAAACCAACAAGTAAAAGTTGTCACTGTCTCAAAACAACCAGTCACATGGTCGGTCCAATCACGATGCTGTCTGGTTGCCTGGTGATATCACTCCACCTTCCTCTGGCCAGGTGTGAGAATCTCCTTGGTTCCCAAGAGAAAGTATTTTGTTTTGGCTACAAAATCCCAGCTGCAAAGCCTGCAACTTCAAGTCCTTCAGCAGAGTCACGACGGGGCAAGTCACACGAGGTCCTGGAATATCTGCAGCTCTGACCATAGTGGGCCTCACCTGGCTAGATTCAGTCTGGCATGCTGTGCGCATGAATCTGTCCCCTCGGCGTCCTGCAAAGCTTCCTTGGAAGTGCTTTGAGATCCCTCTGAAATGAGGACGGTTCCTTAATAAAAGGTCTGCACATCGCGCATAAAGGCTGCATTTCAAATGATTCCAGCATGAGAATTGAGCCCAAGTTTCGCTCCAAAGCTTGAACCTGAGCTTCCGTGCCTAATTTTAGGTTTAGTTGATGCGGTCGAGTTAGCTGCCATTTTGGATTTTTACATTTCAGTTTTTCACGAAAGGCCAAGCGTTGCTTAGTGCTCTGTAGCCGAAATCCTCAGTTTTCCAATGTACGTTGGTCTCAGTTAGCAATGTTAGCATACAGGCACATTTAACACGCTTTAATTGGTTAAAGTGGGGAGTCAAGATGGGATGGGATTGGCCCTTCTGGCTCCCCAGTTTGCTGCCGTGCAAATGCTAAAGGGGGTATTTTTCAACATAGGCAAATTCAACGAGCTGGTAAAAAAATAAGGAATGCTGCAGCAGATTAAGTTCCAAACAACTGTGGTTTCTGGATTCTCTTCTGTCCTTCAAATGCATTCTCCTCGGCTGCTGCCTCTTAAGCAGGATCGCTTGTCCCCTGTTCTCCGTGCCAATCCTGAAGGGACAGCAGGCTCTTGGACACCAGCCTCTGCTCCACAGAGGGCACCCTAGGCAGCTCGGGGGCAAATAAGTCACCCTGGGAACTCTGCAGGGGCTCCTCTGCTGACCCTGGAGCTGACCAGTGGCGAGGGGCCCCCTCCCATTGCCTGGCCGTTGTGCCTGTTTGGAGCTTCGGCCTCGTGTGTGGACTTCCCTGGCGTTTCCGGATGGGCCGTTCCTGTAGCTGGCACCGTTCATTTAGCGGCAAAAAACGGAGGGGCCCATTGCCCGTGGCTGCTCCCTTCACCTCTCCTCCTGGGTAGCCCCTGATGGGAAACAGGGATGCTGTTGAGCCATGCAGTTTCTGGTACTTGTGCCTAGGTAGGGTGAATATCTTGATCAGCACATCGAGGACGATGTCCTGTACGGAGGGGTGTCTCTTTGTCTTAGCATGTCCTTCGTAGGATTTGGCCTTCAGTCCAGGAAGCCCCTCCCAAGATGCCCCCTTGGACAAAAAGGGGCAGGAAGCAGCTTTCCAAAGTAGTGAAACCTGAACAGGGAACCTGAGAAACGAAGGTGTTAAGAGCCCTACAGCCTGTTTAAAAAAAAAAATCAGGCGATTTCAAAGGGGTCTCTGCTTGATCCAGAAGACACAGAAAGGTGCGTCTGTGGCAGCTTCAACTCCCCTCCCTTTGATTGTTGGCCAGGCTTGGTGGCTGCTGAAGCAGGACCCAGGACTTCTGACACGGGGTCCCTCCACTTCTTGCTTCCTTTAACGGAATAAGAGAGTTGGAAGGGACCTTGGAGGTCCTCTAGTCCAACCCCTTGCTCAAGCAGGAGACCTTACACCAGGGGTGTCCAACCTTGGCAACTTTAAGACTTGTGGACTTCAACTCCCAGAGTTCCTCAGCCAGCTTTGCTGGCTGAGGAAC